ATGCGCCCCACTTTCGGCTGCGGCAGGCCAGGGACCACCCGGCCCCACCGGCTTTGCAGCTCACTGCTGCCATTCCCCCGTCTGGGATCTTTAATGTAAGTAAATCAAGGAAGAGTTCCTGCGCCACGCTGCTGGAGAGCATCCGAGGGGCAGCACGGGATAATGCTGCGGTTTGGGAATAGGAAGACAGGGTGGATACAAGCCATGGTACCACCCGCCTCCCCCCCACCCAGCCCTGCCCATGCGCCTCTCCCCGCACACATTTGCTCTTTTGAACCCCTGGCTGAGACCACAGCCAACTCATTTCATCAGTGTGTTTTGGCAGCGATGCCACACGCACGCCGAGCACCGTTATTCTTCTGAGCATCACTCTGGATGAAGGGACACAACTGACAGGGCAGTGGAACACGAGGGAACAGGGCTCGCTCTGTCTATAGGCACCAGCACACATTAAAGCAGCCCTGATGGAGCCTATGGGTACACCACTGAAGGAGAAGCTGTACTCACCCTCTCCAGGTCTTGCCTGAGGTGCATGAAGAGCTTCAAGCGTCGGTAGAGAACATCCTGTTCTTGCTGGGCCAGGTTGTCCACTTCATCCGTTTTTGGTGTCAGCAGCGGTTTGTTGGAATTTGCTTTCCTCTTCAGTTTCCAGTACTGGTAGACAAAATCCACCAGTGATTCGCTTAAGTCAAGGTTCTCTGCCACCTCTGAAGGCTTCACGAGTTCATAGAAGTCCTCCTCCAGCTGCTGGAGCTTCTGCTTCCGCAGCGTGACCTTCTCCAAGTCCAGCTGGGCTTGGTGGGGCTCTGTCCGTGCCTCCTCGGGCAACTTGGTGGCACCGGTGCTGTGCTCAAGGCAGAAGGACTTGAACTTCACTTCGTCGTTGTCTGCTAGAATAGTCCGCATGTCGAGGTTGTGGTCGAAGGCGCAGGTGACGTGGAACGCGGTGACACAGGCTGGCATGGAGCACTGTGGGGAGAAGGACAGGGCTTACGGCCAGGGCAAAGCACCAGCGGTGGTGGGGACGCTTACCAGCACAACGTGATCAGGAGGCTCGAGCTTGGCTTACGACAAAAACTGTGACACCCATCTGAGGGACACCACCTACCACGAAGTGATGGATGCTCCGCTACAGGTACTCCTTATGGAGGAACACCTGTGTTGTCCAAGTCTTATACAGCCATGAGCCGGACGCTCAAGCAGAAGAAACCCAGGGTTCACCAGGTGTCAGTGGGCACCTTCCCACCTTACCTGCTTTAATCCTTCTCTGTGACAGGCCCTGCTGATCTTTCACCTGCCATAAGCAGGAGCTTCCAATGGTTCTTCCAACAAGACATGTCAACAGCCACAGACAACGGCATGGGCCAACGGGACGCTCAGAGACTGTCAATGGATTTCTCCTGATGGAGAAATTTTCATCTGTATTTCACCCTTAAACTCCTCTTCTCTGTGACCACATCTAAAGCTAATGTGCCACTTTTATTGAAAGCATGCAGAGCATGCCAAGGTTTACGAGTGAACGCGGTATCTCAGAAGCAGCCAATGCTCCCGGAGCACGATGACTTTCTCCTCTAGAAATTACATAGCCTCTTCTGATTAGCTCCATTAAAAAAGGAAAAAAAAGGCAACTCAGCATATATCGAGCAACACATCATGAAATGAACTTTTTAGAACTGGTACAGTGGCTACACTGTTGTCAGACATATCAGATTAAATTTTTAACCATTTCCCTCACTTACCTCACATTTAAATCATTTTGGATCCCACAGGCAACCAACCTCAGCCTGGTTTCCTACAGAGGAACCCTCCTAACCGGCGCTGTGCCCATGTCCACGTCAGCACCTTCTCCTCCTCTACTCATTAACTAGTTTTTAATGGCTCAAAGTGTCAGGTAATTATTTCAACCATAACCCATAAGAAATCAGTCTACTCCAGCTACTAATGACCAGTTAAACTGCAATAATGAGACATTTTAAGAGGGCTATTACTGTAGGCACCATATTTCAGCGTTTGTAGAAGAATCGTTCTTCTGGGGGATGAAGACGCAGTTGTGGCCTGAAGGACCAGGCAGAGGCACGTGAAATTTCCTGGCTGTTGCTGACAAACCATCCGGGATGCCGCAGGGTTTTACTGGGGTTTTGCTGCACTTGAATTCTCCAAAAGGTAAAAAGGATAAAAAATATTCTGCTAGCAGTTGAGGAACAGAAGTTTCATGGCTTTTTATCTTCCTCCTGTCAGCCCTGAATTCCTGCTCAGTCACCCGGCGTGTGAACTTTCGACATCGCTGCTTTTAGAGATTTTTTCCTTGACTTTGTTTATGAATCTGCTGGTGCTTATGAAAGCGAGAGACTCGCGCGGCTGCCAGGGCCAAGAATAACGTAGGCAAGTGGTGTCCAAGTCCTCCACTTCCAGGACTCTCCAGGCCCTGCTCCAAAGCCTCCAAAACCAGTGGCAAGAGCTGGACGCAGCCCTGTTGCGGCCGAGCCCTGAGCTGCACCAGCATGGCTCTGCGCAGCGATGCCGGGCACTAACTCCTGCGGGCACCAAATGCAAGGAGATTATGAACTCCTGACATACTCCTAACATACTCCTGATCTACTCCTGACTTATTCCACTTTGGCTGTTCTGGTTTCACAGCTGGGAGTGCTTCCAACTACAGCATCCCTTTGTGCTGTTATGCACATAATATCTACGGTAGAGAAATCGGACACCGAGGACCCGCTGCCATCGGTGAACGACGCGAGCTGAGGAAAGCCCCGCAGCCGTGTCCCCTCCCTCCCGTGTCCCCTCCCTCCCATTCGTGTCACCGGTGCCAGGAACGGCGTCAGCGAAACGGCCGTGGCTTCTGCCAGGACAACGTCCTGCCCATGGGAACGACCGTCGCTCCACCTTAGGAATAAAGCAAACGGAACGACACCCGCCCTGGATCTCTTCTCCGACAGATGGCAAGAAGGACTCGTCAGAAAATGTAAATAGAAAATAATTCGGGAGCTCGGCTTACAGGGCGACAAAGAAAGGTACCCGGTCGGCTGCAGCTACCCGGGGACCTTGCATAAACTGGCAATAAAAACGTATCGATCCATCCCGGATGAAGCCGCTCTTCGCGGGAGGGAGGGATCTGCCACGCAGAAAAAAACAGGCTCAGAAGACCGGCGCAGTCCCTAGGTCTGCTTCGTTATCAATCATGCTTCGTTATCCTACAGCACCTTTCATCCAAGGATTTCAGCACACTTTGCTTGTCCAGGCAAATCCGTTCCCAAACACGACTCCAAGAGAGAGGGTGAAAACTCCACCAGAGCTGAACGTGGGCTGTTAATTAGTCCTCAAACCGCTCCTACTGGGAAGAAACCGAGGGATGAGTTTACTTGCCAAGGAAATTCAAGCAGAAGTTCACCAGCTTCCAGCGGTGCTCCACCACAGTTTGGGGCCAGAGGGGAAGGAAGCAGCTCCTCCAACAGACCTGCGAGGAGAACTCGGGAAGGAAAAATTAATTACCGGTGCTGAACTCCGGCCAAGCCATCAGCCACGATGCTTCTGCATCCGTACAAAAACTACCATGTGATTCCCAGTGACCACAGATGGTCTGGATCCTGGAAGCACTTCTCAGCCGAAACAGGCAATTCCAGCATTGCGGACGTCTTGGAGGGTGCGGGGCCGAGGCAGAGGATGACGGAGGAACTGCGCAGTGCACACGTGCTGCCCTTCCCCTGATGTCATCCCATGATGATGCCCCATCCCTGGAAGTGTTCAAGGCCAGGTTGGATGAGGCCTTGGGCAACCTGGTGTAGTGGAAGGTGTCCCTGCCCATGGCAGGGCAGTTGGAACTACACGTTCTTTGAGGTCCCTTCCAACCCAAACTGTTCTATGGTTCTATGTCATTCTGTACGTTTTCAGGGCTATAGACACAATGAGACGACAGCTCCAGAACCACCACACCAGTTATCCCAGTGGATGGAGATCAGTGGCACAAGCACCTCCAGGGGAGCGGGCAGCAGCAGAGGAGCGATGATGAATGGGTGAGTGGTGGAGGACACTTCTGAGGGCTTTTTTAAAAAAAAAAAACAACAAAAAGAAAGCTGGAAGATGATGACAGCAAAAGACGGTGCCCTTTGGAGAAGCCTGCCAGCAACTAACAGAGAGCTGGCATTTTGCGCTGTGCTGGAAGGCCTTGGCGAGCTCTTCCAGTTGCTCTGACAAGCGAGGAGGGAGCTGGTGAGGAGGAAGCTGGGTCCCAAGCGAGCGTGGTCAGGACTTGGGCTGCACCAGAGCCCAGCTCCTGGCACTCTCTTTTCCATCTCTTGCAATGCAAACGAGAAAATTCCAGCTGGACGCTGAGCTCTCTTTGGCATCTCCTGATGTCTGACCACAGAAACCACCATGAAGTCATCATTTCCCCCAGACAGGAGCAGGAGGAAGGTGCCTCCAGGGCTGCATCCCTGCCCAGTGCCTGGGAGCTCTGGCTCGACTATGGCCATATCGTTACACCAGAGCACAGCTCTGCACCAGAAAGGGAAATAGTTACACAAAAGCAGCAAGGTCAGAGGCACGAAGAGCAGTGGAGAGCCCTTCCTCAGGCATCCCTGGGTGTGCTTCCCTTTTGATGGTCTAATTTGGCTGGGGAAAAACACCCCGATGCACTGAAGTGCCTACGCAAAAATATCTCACATCGGTCTGCATAACTGTGGTCGAGGTGGGTGTTTTCTTGAGCTGTGGTGCTGCCTCCGAGCATCCCTGTCCCCATCTGGGATGTCAGTCTTCCACTCCTCCGGTTTGCCTTCCGGATTTTGCCCACTGTTTTGGCAAAGCCTGGTTCTAACCCACCATTTGGGGAAAAAAAACCTCCTGGAAGCAACACCTCTCCTTCCCCAGCCCTGCTCCACCTGGAGCACCTGATTCCCGCTGCCAAGAATAAAAGCTTTAAGAGAAAACCCACCTCCTCCTTTCAGAGCTGGGTCATAAACCCGAAACGCTGACAAAGGTGGTTCGATTACACCTGTACAAACAGGCACTAATCAAAAATATGCTCCATAAACACAAGCTTTCAAAACAGGGCTCTGTACTGCTGATGAGTACGGAGCGTGTTTATTTATTCATGGGTGAACTCGCTGATTTACCCCATAAATCCTTAAATAAAGGCACTGCCTGCTTTTTTTTTTTTTCTCCCCTCCTTCTCCCCCTTCTCCTTGAAGCAAACCCATCCTGAGTGTGCGAGGGTGGCCTCGGTATCTCCTGAAGACTTATAAACCTTGAGCTGCCGGCACAGGAGACAATAAAGCTCCTGTTCCATCTCAGGTGACCTTTAATGCAAATCCGCCCAGTCCCAGGGATCTCGCAGCTCCCGTGCCGTGCCGGCGCTAAGAGGATGAAGCCTCAGAGAAGCTGAATTCTTTTTGATGCTGCCAAGCCTGCTTGCCTCCTTCCCTGCCCTTCCGTTCTTTGAAAGCAGTTGCCGTTATGACACAGTATCTCCATCTGGCAGGGTGAATAAGCAGATCCACCCAGAGCCATCAAAAAAGCGGTGAGTCAACGCTAGTGATTTAAAGAAGCATTGTGAGATTTCATTTCGAGCTAAGGGGATTGCTTTTAAATAGCTCCCTTCAAAGCACTAAACCCAAGGCAGTCGTACAAACGCAGCGGAACCTGCAGACCTCCTATTCCTCTCGCCCTCCCATTACCAGCTACTTCTGGTTCCCAGCAGTCACTGCTGCGTACGCCGACCTCCGAGGTGCAGCTCCTGTTGCTGTACAGGAGCTGATCAGTCAGGATTGGTACACCTTCAAAACTTCCTCCTGATTTTTCAAGTTTAATGGCTATTCCAACCCCCCCTGCATGCCAAAACTGCCTGGATGCCTGGTTTGCCAAGGAAAGCAACAGGCACTGGCACCAGCGAGCAGCAGATCCCCCAGCCCGTCCCCAGGGACCACTGGGACATTACACTGGCAGAGCAGGGGGAACCATCGGATGCAGACGAAGCTCTCCAGATGCTCTCACACCGAGTACGCTGCATTTTGGATGGAAGCTTCTGCTCTTTGCTCCTTGGGAAGGGAGATCATGGCCTGGGAAGCTCTGTCCCACTTTGGTAAGAGGAAAGCCCAGAGTGTCCTGCTTTCAGTCTGAAATGGGAGCATCTCTCCTCCCTCTTCAAAACACTGCTGCTGCAGGAGTGCAGGGCATCAGTTATCTGCAGCGGTTTGCTTAGAAACCAGGAGAAAATGTGGGAATGTAATATATCATAGTAAATACTCTATTTTCCAAGCCAGTAGGCTAGTGAGGACTACCTAATCCCGGGCTTTCCTCATATCCCCCCAACAGAAAGGCTTCCCAGCCAACCCCCACCAGTTTGGGAAATACTTGGGCTATGCATCTCAGGAGTATCTCACTCTTCTGGCAGCTACACCAAACCTTTCTGCTGGAGGTTCCTGATTTCAAACCAAGGTCATTTGCAGTCCCAGCAATTAGTGTCACTACAGCAACATCACCGTGCTATGCAAAGAAAGTTAATCTAGATTCCTAGCACTCGATACGTTAAATGATTGCAAACAACACCTGATGATGTCTGACGGGCGCTCGTGCTCCCTGTCATTACATTTACTCAGAGCAGGAATAAGCCTCAGCCAAATCGTGTCTGCCGACATCTCGAGACTCTCCGGTGGCTGTTACAGCACAACCCTGGAGGTCTGAGTCTCTTCGGTGCCGAGTTACGTACCTGAATGCATGTCCCAGTGCACTCCTTGCAGAGGCTGCAGGACAAAGCCCATCTGCTTGCTGGGATATGGGAGATCTTCGTAATGGGTTCCATTTTTTCAGGACATCCAATGCTAACCTGGTCACGACATAGAAGACAAGTTGTAAATTCTGGTTACCATCCCCAGTCTCCTAAAAGGGGGATGTCTGTGGCAGTCTGAACGAGGCATGGAATTTTCATTTGTTATTTTTCAAGGTCACTTGTAATTTGGAAAAAAAAAAAAAAAACAACACCCAAAACCCAGAAACAAATCTGGATTAAATGGAAGTAAAAAATTTATGTCAGCGTTTCCTCTGAACTAATTCCTCATCTCGATGTTGTTGTGTAACTCAAATGGGCACACGAGCTTAGCTTTACCCTGCCCAGGCAGGTTCTGTGAATGCCCCCCACCTCTGCGCCCCTGCACCCCACCTCTGTGTCCTCCCTTAACAGGGTGCCATGTGGCTGCTAATTAAACACACAGCCCGATGACCGACCAACAAGCCAAACCAGACCTGCTATTTAAACCATTAACGAACATCCCGGGCTGAGACCTGGAAACCAGGTCCGTGCCCACTCGTGTGGCGAGAGGTTGGAAAATGTCTTACTTCAGGTATCCATAAGGCACAGCTAACGTGGACCCATTTCGTCCCGCTCCGGGTGGGCTTCAGCGCTCCCCCTCTCTTGGGGCACAGCAGACACTTGGGCTGAACGCCGAGGGCGCAGGTCCGGCACAGCCAGCTCCCGATGGGGACCTTCAGGATGCCGTAACACGCCTGTGCAGACACCAGGGAGGCAGGTTAGTCCCAGCAGCCCGGGAAGAGCATCCTCCAGGACCTGCTCCTTCACTGCCGCCTTTCCCTATCGCCACCGCAGCCGGGCATCGCCGCAACAAACAGCAGATGTAAAGCAGCTCCGCAATCACACACAGGCAGGTTAAGCTCTTCTTTCCTTGCTGCCTTCCTATTTTCACGTGGATACTTATGTCCTGGGCTTTAATTAAAAGCTAAGTATACTAATGTGCTGCGTGTGTATCATGCCGAGCATCCGCCTGGCTCTGGGTTGGGGTTAGGGGCAACCAGGATGCTCCATCAGAGTTCCCACCACCAGCAGCTCCACGGAACAGACACCTGCTCGCTCATCTCCTGCCCGTTTCTGAACAGCTACCAGAGCCACGACAGCTCGGAGAAGTAAGAAATGCCGTGCAGAGAAACCTCTGAGGTACCTGAGGGCTGGAAAGCCACAAGCCCACGATTTGAGAAAGGTGGCCAGGCTGGTTACACACCCAACGCAGCCTGAAGGGGAAGTGAGAATAACTACGGGAAGGTAAAAAGGGGAAACTGATAGTCATGAATCTAAATCAGAAGGGAGGAATCATAAAAGGACGGTAAATCTAAAGGATGATAAATCTAAAGGAGGGAAGGAGGCGTCTATGGCCAAGACAGCCAGAGCTAAAGGACTCAGGTCACCCACGGAGCTCCCCGACCGGCTGAGATAGCGCAGGACGCAGAGAATCCAAAGCGCTTCATAAATATTTCTCTTCTGTTCTTGGGGGCGAGCCAAATGATAAGCCATATCACCCCACGATGATGATAAAATACTTCCCACTTCGGCCGTAACTTATGGCTGTATTAAACCAGACGGTTTTTAAGCGGCAGGTCCCGATAACTCGCACTTGGAGGGTTTTCGGCGAGCGGCAGACGAGCGCCTCGGGCACCGACGCGGGGCTGCGTCACTGTTCTAATTGAGGCAATGTAATTAATTCTAGATCTGGCTGCTCTGATGTCCCCCCAGGAGGCAAGTGGGCAGCGCCGACAAGGACCCCCAGTGCTGCTGGTTGCAAATCGAGCCCAGGCATTTGTCAACTCCACTTCTTGAAGTTCACCCCCAAAAGAGAACAGTTTTTCATCCTGGTGCCGCAAGTCACTGTCACAAGTGACAGGGCTGGGGGGGTCACACAGGGGTAGAGGGGGCACGTGGAGATGCACCCGTGTGGGAAAAGCCTATCCTCAGTCTTTACTGGTCAGGAATGGACTTTATACCGTGACTCTAGGTTGCCTCAAAGCACAAATTGACTCTGATAGTGATTTCCGAGGGGAAAAAGCCACTTCATGGACAGATTATTGGGATAATAAGGAATTAAGGGAGGTAATATTATTGCTGCCAGTCTACATGGTTCAGAGAGACTTAACTGTGTGCTTCCCAGCGCCTCCAAATCTGACAGATAAATCACTTCTGTAACAGTTTTATAAAACATGCGATTTAGTACCAGACAAAAATCAGCCTGGTACGTACTACCAGGAGAATAAACTGGCAGACTGATCTCAAAATCCAGAGGAAAACAGGAATTATGACCAGATATGCATCTCCAGCAGAGAGAATGGGAATTTGGTAACAACAGGACCATGCTCTGGTGGCTGGAAGCTGGACACGGATCGTCCCTCTTTGAAAAGTGCGACGTTGGCACCATGAGAGTGATGAACCACAACGATGGGGCAGCGGGCAGGGGGCAGATTCCTCCTCGTTGAAAATTTTAGAATGAAGATTGTATGTGTTTTCCAAAAGCTACGCTTCACAGGAATTAATTAATAGCAAGCCTCATGGCTTGTGTTACGCAGATGAGATGATTACGATACCTCCTGGCATCATAACCCACCAACGCGTGTCTGAGCACAACCCTGCCTCTGCCCCTTCCCGCTGGGATGCAGGAGGATGAGGCACCGCTCTGGCCGTGTCCCATGGGACCCCAAATACATGGAGCGGGTGGCAGCGGCACCTGGTTGCCCACAGGGAAGCACCATCCCCGGCAGGATGCAGACGCAGGGCTGGCAAAGGCACGGGGCAGGTTAGATTAAAAACACAATGCCATGCAACACCCCGTGCTGTGGCTCTGGACTTTGTGGCTTAGGGCATAAATCAGGGCAGAGATTAAACCAAGGGCAGCTTCCAGGCTGGCATCGGGCTTAGGGCTGGACTCTGCTCCCTGAAAACAATGGAAAACCTCCCCTTTCTTTCAACAGCCTGGCAATCCAGCCCGCTGCATCCCCTCTTGCAGCACCACTCTGCTCCCAGCACGGGGTCCACTGCTGAAAGCGGAGCCCACTGGGCTGCCACGGCCCGTGGTGGGCACAGCCGGGGTCCCTACGTCCCCACGGGAGCCCTGGGCACGCTGACCGCCTTCCCCCAAGCCCCTGCCTGCTGGCACTCATCAGCTCACAGCCCAACACTGCCACTTGGGCTTGTTAAAAAAAAAAAATCAAACCCAAGATGAAAAAAAAAACAATCCCAACCCTGAATCGTCCTGGTATTTTGTGGAATCTGATTCACTGATGGAAACCATTCAAAACGCCCACCTCCCGCAACTATAGATATCTCCAACGCTCTCCCACCTCCGGGAAGCGCTGATGGAAAAGCTGCCCAAAAGATGAGCAAATGGCTCTCTTCAGAGGAAAGAAAAAAAAACAACCCAAAACCCTTCACACAGAGGGTAAAGCCCAGGAGCTGCCACCGTCATCCCAGCACTGCCTGGTGCTTCCCCTCCAAGCACCACCAGCCAAAGCTCCCGCGTGGGACCCAGGAGACCCTGGCACGGCTGCCTTCTCCTTGTCAAACTTTCCCCAAGTGCAGGAGCCCTGAGACCATTCCCCAGCAAGGGCCTGAAGCACTTGCATTCAATTCTAAAAATAAAATTATTTTCCTCCAGGCAGCAAAATAAAGTGAAACCTTACACTCGTACAGGAGGGACAGAAACCCTGCGATGGGAGACAGCGCTAGTGGAGCTGGAAGGTCCTACTACCCCAGTACAACACTGTGGAGTGGGCTGGAGGTCATTGCAAACTCACCCCTCCAGCAAGTGCAGGGTGAGTGCAGACCCACAGACTCCCCAACCCACCAGCCAGTCCTGCACATGGTGCTGGTCACCCCTGGGTGCTAAAGGTCTCGTGGCTGCAGTTTAATAAAGAAAGATGGGGTAAAAAAAGGAGAATAAGCACATAAATGGAAGAGGAAGCATAAAATAAAATATCAGAGACCAGAGGATAAGGACAAGGGGGCAAAGCAAGCTCACCGGAAGCGGGTTTCAATCTCTGCTTGTGTATTTCTGCGGGCGTTTATGAAGGGTTAGGGCTGAGAAAGTAAGAAAAGCAAATTTGCTGTCTGCCAGCTGTCCAGGACCCCATCTGGCACCCTCGCTCCGCTGGAGACGTGCCAAGAATCTGCCAGGAATCCATCAGAAAAGCTGAAGAGGGGTCTATAGCCGCTCGGGGAAAGGGGATGGGAGGAAGGCAGAGGAGGGGACAGGAGCCACTCTCCCCCCGCGGCGGGGGCTCACCTGGTGCACGCAGACGTTGCACTTGTCGCAGAACACCATCTCGTTGCCGTCCTCCCCCTCCGGCGAGCGGCAGACGTCGCACACCACGTCCTCGTCGTACTCGATGCCCAAGCCCTCCTCCGTTTCGATGGCGATGTTCATGTTCTCGTAGCACATGGTCTCCAGCTCCTCCAGCACTCGCTCCAGGGTGATCTCATCCAGCTCGGGCTTTTCTGCAAGGCAGAAGGCAGAGGAGGACATTGATGCAGCTCCGGCACGGGAGCCCATCCGCCTTCAGGGAGCGCTTCTGCAAAGGGCTGAGCATTTTAAACTGCGACTCAAGAGGCGAATCCACGGCGACGGCAGGAGCGGCGATTCGGAAAACTCGGGATGCAGTTTGTGTTTCACAGACAGTAACAAAATATTGCTGCTGGCTGAGAGGAGAGGAACCCATTCAGCTGAAGCAACGCGGATAATTAGGTCTGACAGTTTAAATGTTCAAGGAGACAAGCTTTGCAGAGATGCTTTCTGCAGCGAGGGCTCAGACAAGCTTTGGAACACAAAGTCAATGCTTTAATTGTTAAGACTGGAAATTGACCCTTTTAAGGCCAATTAAATGGAACTGTAAAACGGAAGCCAAAGGCTGAAACTGAGGACAAATAAGGGGTTTTTCTTCCTGGTTGGGTTTAGTGGAACCAGACGGTCAGACCCGAGGCGGGCTCAGATCGGCTGGGTTGTGTTTTATCCTCCCCATATCCCAAGATCTTTAGTGGGAAGAAGTGGCAGAGGTTTCTCCAAAGTGAAAACCAGGAACACGAGGCCAATAACCAGAAAAGGCTTTTTCAGAGCAGCAACCTCCAGCAGTGGGATACCCGGCCACCGTTACGGAGCGCGGATGCTGCTGCCAGGAGCTGGGCAGCACCGAAACGGTGCCACGCTGGATGGTGGAAAGAAAATATCTTAGTTATGAGCAGAGAGGGGGAAAAAAAGGCTTGAGGAAGTACTAATATGAAGCAGCTATTAATTAAATGTTCAGTGAGACATTTGCCATCCTCGGCATCTCAAACCACAGCGTGACGTCCCTGTACCAGGCTGAGCTCTGGGGTCCTGACAGACCCCTGGGCCTGGGGAGGGACGGGGTGTGGGGTCCTGGGCAGCGCTCCCAGGCCCTCCGGCTGCACGATGCTGGCAGAGGCTGCACCTTCCCCTGACGGCCACGGACCGGCTGAAAAAACTCAGTCAAGGGGGAAAGCAACTCGTAGGCGAGCTCGGCAAGCGAACGCACCATTGTCTGCCTTTTTAAGCTCTTCCCCAACGTTTCGCGTTGGCACCGATCCCCTTGGCTTGACAAGTCTCTGCAAACATCTCGCCTGGCATTTCACATGTCTGTGTCGAGTCTGAGATACCATCTAAGACAGACAACGCCGTTCCCCAGCGCGGCCCTTTCAAGCGCTGGGGCTGCTGTGCCGCAACATGCCACGGAACCTGACGGTACCTGTTTTATGACCGAGCCGCCCCGGCGATGGGCACGGGATCTCCGCAGAGCCCCGGGCTGGCACGGGCTGCCCAGGGGCTGCTGGGGCTCAGCACCCTGCACTGGCATGACCAGCCCCGCATCCCGGCACCAGGACGGAGCCACCAGCTTGCACTTGGCATCGCGCTGGTCGGATGCAACAGGGCAGGGAGCGGGTTAGACAAAGGCAGAGCGTTATTTTTGCCTTCCCGGTGTCCCAGTGTAAACACACCACCTGTGCTGCACTTGCTCGACGGAGAGCTGCAAGCCAGGACTTCACGGGAGCATTAAATCAGCTCTTGGTCAGCGTTTCAAATCATCTGTGACCATGATCCCAGGCACCAAAGTGACTCACTTTCTCCCAACATTCCAGGCTCTGCTCTCTCTGCTCTTCTGGAAAGTAAAATGACCATTAACGTGTTCCCAGTGCTTTTCCCCACGGACTTTTCAGAGCCACTCTGGGGAGGGGGCAGGCAGAGAGCTGGCAGCTGCAGGAAGTGCAAGGAAGGAAAGGGAGGGGGGTTTCCATAGGAATCATGACCTTGACCCACCCACAGGGTCGGCATCACGCTGGCATCGCCAGGATCACGTCGGCATCGCCACCATTCCCGTTTCACCCTGAGTGGAAAGAGCCGGCTCCCATCCCACCTCCCGCATTTTCCATCCTCAGCAATGCCCTGGTCTCACCAGCGTAACCCTGGGGAGAAAGACCCCGCTGATCCCAAAACTCTCGCACCGGAGAAGCCCAGCAAGCCGGCAGGGTTTCCTTATCAGCCAACGTGTGACGTAGTTATACTGTTACACCGAAAAATATAGATCTCCCCCTCCCTGCCTCCCTCCCTCCCGCGCAGACGTGTGCGCTCTCACACTCCATTTAGATGTAATTACATTAGAAATTCGTTTGCCAAGCACCATTCGGAATACCTCGGAGCTTATTGAATTGACAATTGCACTTGATGGGGATGAAGCGATTAATCGCTTATGAAACACTAAACAATGGGGCCTGGGGGTGAAGTGCTTTTTTTTTTTTCCATTTGTGCTCTGTTTATCTCCTCCTGCATCATGTAAAGTTTGTGCTACTCAACTCCATTCATAAAATTGTCACGTTTTTGGCTGCAAAAACGCTATCTGTATTGATTGTGGCCAGCTAGATAGCAAAAACAAAAAACCACTCCACCAAAACGCTCTGTACACACACAAGTGACACCATTATTGTCCCTGGGGAAGGAAGAGCAAAGACCCAGATACTGATTTTGGCTACAATGGATGAATCCAGCGATCTCCAGAGAGTAAGTCACACCTGAGACCATCACAGGGACCGTGGACTCTACCTGCTGACCGAGAGAAAGGTATTTTCACCTGGTTAAGGTATGCCAAGGTCTTGCAGGAAAGATGGGGAGAAATCCAAGCTTTTCTGAGCTTCTGCAGAGAAGGGCAGTGTAGCTGCAAACTTCTCGACACTTTCTGTCTGGAGGGACGTAGCCAGAAGTGAGAATTTAATCTCACACCAATATAATCACCAGTGATTTGGAACCATGGTCAAAACACTAATGCAGGAGTAAAAGGCTCCACGTTCCCTCACCCCTCCCAGGAGTCCACCCGTATCCACTCCCCATTAACACTGAGCGCATTAACGATGACGGCTTTTGATGTGGCCACTCAGCATCCCTGGGACACTCCAACATCGCTCCGTGGTGGGACGGACCATCACCCGTCCCAGAGCAGGATGTGGGTGGGCAGCCCTGCCCAGCCAAAGGACACATTTCCTGGAGGAAAAGAGGGACTTTGCCTCGGGAATGGAGGAGGAGAAGAGGTGCCAGATGATGATGCACTGCAGGAGGTCTCCAGATCTGATTTGGGAAGAGGAAATGTGTAGGAATCCGGCCTTTGCTTGGAACTTTGCGCCCAGCAGAAAACTCTTCCCCGTCCATATCCCTGCTGTCGGAGTCTGCCACGATCCCTGCGGCTCCGCAGCCACCCAGCATCCCTGTTATCCCTGGGGGGACCCTGAGGTGCCCACTCCGGCCCCATGCAACCCACCTCCCCCAAACTTCCGAGCAACCGCCCGTACGGCAGCTCAAACACAGAAGTTAAATATTTTTATCCCAAAGGAGCTGGGCTGGCACCGAAGCCACGGCACCAGGTCTGGGAGAACCACCAGGCACATTCCTTTCCACAACACCGCTCTCCGTTATAATTATTTCTGTAATATCGTAATTTATGTGGCATGAAGGAGCAATATTCTTCTGCTAAATGAATTCTCAGCTACTCCTTATCGTGGTGTGAGCTGACTCACTGCGCGGGGAGGAAAAAAAAAAAATAGCTGGAGAGCCACCTTTCACAAAACGGAGACCTATTTCTGACTAAACTGTGCTCCAGTAAAATCAATTTACTGAAACAATAAATCCTTTTACCCTGTGGAGGATACGTGGAGATAAAACAGCTCATGAACAAAGAGCCATCAGGAGTGCAGGCTGCGCCACTAGTTGATTCACAAGCTATAAACCTCGGAGTCTGTTTTTCTGGAAAAATATATAAACAAGCAAAATTACTGTTTTTTTTCTAAAAAAAAGGAAAAGCACTTGGGAGATGATGTAGGCTTGTCTCTTAGTATCTTTGAAAAACTGAGAGCAAAAGGACACCAGGTCCCTGATGGGACAAGGGGTGGTGGCACACAGCACGGGGACCATGGGCTCCTGAGATCCCCTTCCAACTCGGAGACCATCTCTCCAGCTCATCCACCTCAGCAGGCTTCAGACCTGCCTGCCTGGGTCTCTGCCTCTGCAAAGCCGTGCTGAGGATCCTTCCCACCTCGGAAGCTGGGAGAACGAAAGCAATCCGAAGGCAAAAAGCACCGGCTAAGTGCTAAAACTGAGTGTAGGCACCGCCGCGCAAAGGGACACTTCAGGAGAAACACAATTTGGCTCTGAATATGATCAGGAGCTGAGCACCCACACACTCAAGACACCCATGGGGACACCAGCCACCCCTGCCCAAGGCCGGGTGCTCACCCGGGCACGCCGGGTCCCGTCCGAAACACCCTTGCGAAGTCAGAGGATGACAGAGAACCCCCCAAACGCCGCACCGGGCTACCTGGGACTGCTCCAGCCACCTCCCACCCACCTGCCACAGGCACACAGTGCTGGGAGAGGCACCAGTTGTCCATCAATCTGCGATCAACGGGATTTAGAAAAAAACCCTGAACGCAAAGCGAGACCAGTGAAACAAAGAGCGACGCGCGAGCTGAGCATCCGCGGCGAAACTTCGGGATATTTCGGTACAACCACAGCCTGCTATGTACTTAAAAGATTTACAGGAACCAATTATCAGCCTTTCTGCCACCCATCGGCATCAATTATTGCTCAAATTTTAAGATAATGACAAAATGTTTTAGAAGCCACTTTGTGAGCTGCTCGGCACTGACGGAGCCGTCCCGGAGCACTGCTGATGAAAGCTCTATCCAGTAGCTCCCATCCAGTTTCCAGTGACCATTGCTGGAAACTACCGTGATAACTGCGAGGAATTCATGGAAAGAGCAAAAGATGACATGACATAAAAACTGATTGTGCTGAAAAATGTGGAGGCAAAACGTCTAGTGTCTCACGCTGATCTCCAACCCTGCTAATCTACACCTTAAAACATAATCTACACACGATTAATATATTAATCTATACATTACTCCACACACGCCTTTCCTGCAATATCTGTTTCTAAAAGGAG